CAGCACCGTGTCCTTGCTGATCTCCACTACAGCAAAGCAGTGCGGCTCTTCCAGCTCCTGAAGGATGCCCCCTGTGAGCTGCTGCGTGTGCAGCTGGAGAGAGTGGCCTTTGCAGAGTTCCAGATGGCCAGTAAGTGTAGCTCTGGCTTTAAACAGCTTTCCAAACCACCACCTACTTGGTTTCATTTTTAGATAACTAAATTTATATGAGAGTAGGAGCAATCTGCTGCTCAGTATAGAATTTTCCTCAAGAGAGGAGACAAGGCACTTTTATCTTGCTGGTTTTCAGCTGACTAGGGCTGTAAGGGCTTTCTTCCTAACTCCTGAAGTCTTTGGATGGCAGAAAAATACAGTCTGTAACATTAACCTTCTTTTCCTTAATTTTCATGGGTTTTTTTAGGTCAGAACAGCAGTGCTGGGAAATTAAAGACTCTGTCTGGGGCCCTTGATATAATGACCAAAACCAAGGGTGCATTTCAGCTCATCAGGAAGGAGCTTGTGGCAGAAAATGAACAGGTAAAGAAACTTCAAGTGGTGTGATACCTGCTTCCTTCTGGCTTATGCCTTTCCAAATGAATGGTCATTTGGCAGTTAAAATATTCTTTGGTTACTTTTCCATAGAGCTAGTGACTTAAAGAGCATGGACAGAGTTAGATGTATTGCAGTTCTCCCTTAACCTTAAAGTGGATTAAAAAAAATTCCTCTAGAACATGATCCAGAGATGGATTAAAACATATTTCTGTACAGATGTGAACTGCCTGACTGTGTGACTTGACTTCTTTTTGTGCAACCCTGCTATCCCTTAAAAGTCTTCTCTTAAGAACTTCAGAATCTGTGTATAATAAAAAAGTTGTCTGTCTCTGGTATATTTAATATTTAAATGTTAAAATGTGCAGGGCTGTCTGTAGCCAGTGTGAATTATGTTCCTGATGCCTCAGTCAAGAATTACTTGCAGGGTGTGCTGATGTGTGTGTCCCTTGCTGTGAAAGTCAGCTCACTTGCAAAGAGGGGCTTTTTAAATCACTCCCTGTATTTATAAGGTGGAATTCAGTCAAGTTGTTTTGGATTGTTTGTCTCCTGTAGATCAGCAAGGATAAAAGTCCTGCTGAGAGCGTGTCAGTGAACGATTCCTCTGCAGGCCTTAACAAAGAGGAAGTCTTGAAACTGCTTGGGATTTTTGAGTCCAGGATGTCTTTCCTTCTCCTCCAATCCATTAAATTGTTAACTTCAAGCAAAAAAAAGATTGGGTAAGTTGAAGCTTGGTGTCCTTTTTCCTGACTGGCGTGGGACTGGTGTGTGACAGAGCAGAGTTCCTGGGGGAGAAGCTGCTGGGTGCTGCTGATCTCTTGATCCATCTTGCTGATAAAATGTCAGTGGAGTTTGGCAAGCAGAACACTTGAGAAGAAATCCAGGCACATCAGTGATGCAGCAAAGAGAGGGATGTATATGGGGTGATGTGCACTGGTGTCAGGGAATTTACTAATTCCTAATGGACTCTTCTGTCCTGCTGCTGGGATTCAGGACAAACCTGACTTCTTTTTGTGCTGACTTTGAATCAGAGATGTTGAGATTTGGTGTGGCAGCAAATTCCTCCCCCACTCCTTCTGCTGCTTTGATCTGAATGTGTGTGGTGTTCCTTTTGGGACCCAGAAAATACCTTTTACTCCCCCTGCAGCAAGTGTGTGATTGCAGGAGCTGTTCTTAGTGTTACATAAAGTGAAGTTCTGAAAATGTGGCATTAGATTTAGAGGATTCCTTTAGGCTTGGAAGTTGGGTTAATAGTTTTGGGGATTGAAGCACTGCTGATGGAAGAGCTGTTTTGCTAAAAGTAAACTGTGAAATGAGTTCATTGTGCCCAGGAAGTTGTCTGCTGATAGTGGGAGACTGGTAAATAAAAAACATGAGAAGAGAACACAGCCAGGGTGTGTTTTTAGCTGTTTTTCAGACAATGTTAGGAGCTTTCACATCCCAAAAAGAGCTTCCACAAGGTGGCAGTCTGAATATGTGAAACACTGAGGATTTTTACAGGATAATTTGTATGTTACCAAGCAGATGTCACAGCTAACTGAGTAAATGGGTTTAGTTTTGTTGTCTCATAACATGAGCAATTCCTCTTTTTTGATTTGGAGGGTTTTTCTCCTGACATTTACCTTGGCATCATTGTGAGGTTTTGCACTGAAGATTCCACACAGGGAATCTGTTACAGTTTGAATGATGTGAAAGGGGAATCTTAAAATCTGCTCAAGTCCTTGAAACTTTGAGGCCAAGCTTGAAACTACCTTTGATTTAATCTTTCTTGTGTCTTCTGTACATCCTGTGTGCATTTCCTCCCTTCTGCTCTGCTCTTCTTTGTTTGAAATGCTCTGCAGAAGGGAAGTTGTGCCTTCTGCTGTAATAATGGGGTGAAAAGGGAGGAAATTGGAGCTCAAATGCTGCTTCAGGGTCTCAGGTTCACTTTGGCAAAAAACAATAGAACATGCAGTAAAATTAGTGTTTGATAGCCAAACTTGCAGCCCAGCAGTCAAAATGGATGAAATCAGTTTTACCCTCCCAATGTGGAATCATGAGCAGAACAGAACTTGGCTGTGCAAATTGGAGGAGAAAAGTAATTGAAACTAATACTTTGTTCTGGGAATACTTGTAACTTATCCCAGAAATACTTTGAATTTCAGTGGCTTTTTATTGACTACCTGTTCTGTTTAATAAATGAACCTGATTCCTGCCAAGTGTGTGATGAATTTAATTTGCTTCAACATTTCTCAGTCATTCCTGAAGCACTTGCAATTAACCTGACTACTGCTTGTACATTTTATATTCTATTATGTTCACATTTTATGTTCCTGCCTGTTGTATAAACAGAATGCTCTGACTGCAGTGCAGGGAATGGTGGAGGCTGAGGATATCCCCAGGGATCATCATCAATATTATTTATTTGAGGAATGTTTGAAGGAACTGGGGTTGAGGAGGCTTAGAGGTGACCTTATTGCTCTCTACAACTTCCTGAAGGGAGGTTGCAGACAGGAGGGGTCGTCTCTTCTACCGAGCAGCACTGGCAGAACAAGAGGACACAGCTTCAGGCTACGTCAGGGAAGGTCTAGGTTGGATATTAGGAAAAAAAATTTCACCAAAAGAATAATAAAGCACTGGAATTGTTTTCCCAGGGAGGTGATAGAATCACCATCTCTGGATGTGTTTAAAAAAGACTGGACATGGCACTTGGTGCTATGGTTTAGCTGAGGTGTTGGGGCATGGGTTGGACTTGATGATCTCAGAGGTCTCTTCCAACCTCATTATTCTGTGATTTAATAATGCTCTTGATAATTTGCAGCTGACTAGTTGGGACTCTCTGCTCTCTTTGCAGGGGCAGCAATGAGGAAGAAGCAGCTCTGAGAACAAACAAGCAGGTTTATTCCCTGCTGCTGCGTGCCACTGCCAACAAGGGGCTGTCACTGCTGGAGCGCACCGAGCTCCTGCTGAGCCTGCTGGAGCAGCTGGCCCCGGGCAGCGAGGGCAGCCCTGGCTCGCAGTGAGCACAGCCCTGCAGAGCTGCAGCACCAGTGCCTTGCTGGGAGCACTGGGGGTGTTCCCATGGGATGTTTGTGTTGACTGAGGTGAGCTCTCACCACTGTTGTTCCGTTGGAACCTGGCAGAGCACAGGGATTCCTTTGTATCCCCACAAAGCTTTCCTTGTCTGGCTCCCAGCGTTTCTTTGTTTGAAATGCCAGCTTGGAGTTCTGGAGATAAAAATGTAACTTTTGCACCGTGGGGAGATTTCCTGTTTTTTCTCTTGCAGTGAAATCCATGTTTTGCATAAAGATGTAACCTCACAGCTGCTCTGGTTTGGTGTTTATTGAAATGTGTTTTGTAAGCAGGGCTGCACTGGAACACTTGCACTGCTAAAGGCAGCCCAAGCTGTACCAGGAGATTTCTGTGGAATATGTGGATGCACTTCTTAATCCCAGGGAGGATCCTGCACAAAAACCTGTGCCTTTCTAGCTTTGATGTGACTCTTGCAATTTATCAGCCATCTCTGGAATTTTGTTTTGGAAAGTGAATGGTTTCAGCTATGTTGGAATTGATCAAGAATAGTATTATCTTTTTTCAGACTTGAAACTGTGAATAAATGAGAGGATATTTTTAAATAAAAATTTATTTATTGCATATAAACATCAGTCTGCCTTGTTTTTCTTGGTTATGACTCTCCTCAGAGCAGCAAACTGCTCAACAGAATTAAAACTATTTGAAAGACAAATTTTTAATGTTTTGAAAAAGATCTCTAAACTCCAAACACCTCCAGAGTGGAGTCTTACCTCAGCATGTGAGGACTATGGGGTTTTTTTGCTATATATATTATTTGAAGATAAAATTTTCCAGAATATAACATCTCATGTCCTTATGTTCTTCTACAAATAAATGTGTTTCTTTATTGCATAATAACAGTATAAACCACTTTAAATAAAGGTAGAAATGGGTTTTACTTGCATTCATATGGAATTAGATTAGCTTTTTAAGGTCCCTTCTAATCCAAAGCATCCTAGGATTCTTCCTGAGATTCCATTTCATCCTGAGAAAGGGAAGTGCTTCATAAGCCAAACACTTTTCCTGCTTGGCATGAGTTTCCCATCAGTGCCCAGTGTGGCTGAAGACCCCACACTCTGGAATTACTCAGTTTATAGGAACAGAACTGGGCTCAGGTTCCTTCTTGCTCCAGGTGTGGAGCCTCTCACGTGGAAGGAAATTCAGGTCCCATCCTCAGACTTCACCTGAACTGTGCAGCAAACCAGGGTTTCTCTGTTATTCCAGAAACCTCAGCACTCTGTTAACAACTCAAATGACTTTCAGGAGGATTATAAATGAGTATATTATGATTCAAATCTCCTGTGAAGCCCCTGGCATTAGCTGGAGGGAGCATTAGTGCTAAATAGGATTATTCTTCCCCTTCCAGAGATAAACAATTAAAGCATAAACCACATCCAGAACAGACAACTCTAACACCATTATTAACTCTGATAAGCCAGTTTATTTCCCTGTTGATAAATCCTTCATTACAGGAACAGAAACCAAAAGCTAATTTTTAAAACCCTGTTAGGGTAACAAGGGGCAACAGCTGACCTGAATTAGCCCCACACAGAGCAACTTCACTGCAAGAATTCTCCTGTTCCACTAAGAATCTACAATTAACATTTTTATACAAATATTTGAAAAGCAGAACAACAAGCAAACAAGTTTACAAAAGAAAATACTTCACTGGAACATGGGAGTCTTTGCTACAAAAGAAGATGTGCAAGTAAAACTGATCATACAGAGAAATCCAACCTGAGCTGTGTGCTGGGGGATACCTGAGGTGGGGCTGATTTCAGTAGCTCAGTGTTCACAGCTGCTTTTCAAGGATAAAATATTCACAGTGCACACAGGAGGAAAGGGAAGAGCTGGATGCTGGACAGATTCCAGAATTCTTAAGATATTTAGGTGCAACCTCAGAGCTGTCCCTGAGCAGGACAGTGCTTCACAATCCCAAATCACACGCTCTCGCAGAACAGCAGGTCTGCAGGCTGGAACAGCCCTCCTGGAGGACCCCACTGACCTTGCTGGGCAGGCTGGGCTCTCACTGGGGCCCAGAGCAGGGATGTGGCTGCAGGGCTGTGTGGATGGCAGCAGCCAGGTCCTGGGCCGTGGGGCTCCCTGCAGTGCAGCTCACAGCAACGCCAGCCCCTCGCAGGGCCTCTGCTGTGCTGGGGCCGATGGCAGCGAACTGCAGGGACAACGTTGTCACTGTCAGTGCTCAGCACTCAGCTCTGTGTCCTCCCCGCCATCAGCTCTCCCAGCTCAGCCTGAAGATTTGCAGCCTTAAAAGCCACCCATCAATGGAGCTACTTAGCAGCGACTCAGGGAAGATGAGTATTTATCTCACCATTACAAACACTGAAAGCTCCGAGTCCCACGGAACAGAGAAAAGTGAGAGGAATTTTAATCAGCTGCAGCCTGGTGCAAGCAACAACTCCTCACAGCATGGCATCACTAAGAGAAAATGAAGGCTACCCCAATGGAGATGGCTGGGGGAAAACATTCCAGGTGAAAACAATTTCTTTTTTAAAATCCACCCAAGGTCAGGTTGGATGGGGGTAGAGAAACCTGGTGTAGTGGAAAGTGTCCCTGCCTGTGGCAAGGGGGTGGAACAAAATGGGTTTTAAGGTCCCTTCCAACCCAACCCATTCTGGGGTTCTATAATTCTATATAATAACACTTGAATTTGCTATAAACTGGGGTTTTCTTCAGAGAAATAAACACAAGCCAAAGATAAAGTCAAGGTTTGCAGTGGTTATAACAGCCTTTCTATCTCATTTGCCCAGCCCAAATTTACTGCCTCTGGTGTTCCCCCATTTCTAAGAGAAGATACCTTGATCTGGTTGATCAAATCCCCTGAAAGCTTCTGGATGTGCTGGAGGCAGAATTTGACACCCGAGGGGCTGAAGAACACGACGCTCGCAGGGATCCCCTGGGTGAAACAAGCAGAGGTTGGCACAGCTCACTCCCTCCTCCAGCAGCGTGCCAGTGCCTTGGCACATGGTGACAGGGCACAGGGAATGGCTTCTCACTGCCAGAGGGCAGGGATGGATGGGATCTTGGGAATTAGGAATTGTTCCCTGGGAGGGTGGGCAGCCCTGGCACAGGTGCCCAGAGCAGCTGTGGCTGCCCCTGGATCCCTGGCAGTGCCCAAGGCCAAGCTGGACAGGGCTTGGAGCACCCTGGGACAGTGGAAGGTGTCCCTGCCATGGCAGGGGTGGCACTGGATGAGCTTTAAGTTCTCTTCCCACCCAAACCATTCCACGATTCTGTAATTCTATGATGGAGGCTCCTAACATGGAAAAACCAGAGGGCTAATATTGAAAAATGAAAAGCAATGATTACTTTTACACAATCTATGTAGGGCAGATTACTCCTGTATTCCCATTTGTGATACACAGCAAAGATGCTCAGTGATATTTCAGTTACACTACTTCAGACAAAGGAATATTCTGGGAGCATTGTCACCTGCCTCAGAAAATCCCAAACTACATCAGTGTCCAGTACCTGCTGGGAGAAGTAACTGCTCAAGGACTCCTGCAGATCAGGGTGTTGGGCTGTTTGATAAACAGTGAGGCTTTCCAGGGGTATGCCTGCAATCAGGATATGCAGCCATAATTAATTCACTCATTAACTTCTATTATTTCAGTTCAGCACTCACAACATCCTAGCTGCACTTAAGTGTAACTATTTTAGGCTAACAAAAACCACATAAAAGCTCTGTGAAGGATTTGCAGGTCCCAGAGCTGTGGGCAGCCATCCAAGCTCCCAATGTTTCCTCCTGTCCTCTCCTCAGCAAGTTCCACTTTTACTTCTTCCAATTTAGTTCACAAGCTTTAGATACAACTTTGCTCATCACTGACTAATTAAAATGGGTCTCCAGGGGAAGTTCAACCTTTTTCTCTAAGCACTGTAGGAAGTACTTCTCTTTTCAGGGCTCCACAAGGAAATAGGAGAGCTGAGGAATTGGGTTTCTCTCCTGTAAACACACAAACAAGAACTTTAATTAACTCAGGCCTTTAATAAAGAGTAAATGTGATTAAATACATTTTAAAGGTATCAAATGCTGATTTATCAAATGTCTCAGCACACACACAGCTCTGAGGTAACTGAAAACATCTGCAGCCCCAATTCACAGGGCAGGCTACTTAGCAGGAACATTAAAAATATTCCATAACAAGAACAATAATATTGGCTAAAAGATAACTTCCTATGTAGACGGGCAAGGGGAATAGAAATGCCCTTTATCTCCTCCTCAGCACAACCCGCCTCAATTTGATATTTAAAATCTGTCCCACTCAATAAATGACAGAGCTCTCTATAAAAGAATATTCAGGCAGACAAAGAAAAGGACAATACTGTGCTGAAAAGTTTTGGTCTATCTGCAATTCCGTTTTCTTAATTCCCCAAGGAAAAAGGATTCTGGTTGTACTGCTGGGGTGGGAGTGGATAGCCTCACATGCTTTTGTCAAATTAGGAATTTAATAGCAAACTTGCTTTGCACAGCTTTTGCCTTTTCTACAAATAAGAAACACAGAAAATGTCAAGATTAAATTCTACACAGATTGATCCAGCTTTGGATTCGGCTTTCCAAACAAAGGAAATTGTTTAATTACTAATTCAGATTTGTTAATACATTTTAAAGAGACAATTACTAGAGAAGAAATGCTTTTAAGTGCTGGAAGGAGATTGTTGGACTATGCAAGCAGACATTCTTCAGGGATAAAAAAAAAAGGCAGCAGAGTGAAAATCAAATGGAAAGACCCTTGTAGGAGTAAACCCAGACACACCTGAGTGTTCTGACTGCACACTGAGGTTTGATTAGAAAACAGATATTCTTAAATTAAAATTAAAAATTAGAGGAAGAATGAACTTGGCTCAGAACGTAAAAAAGATTTTAAAATTAAATAAAATTGGAATGTTCCAGCATGAATTCAGCTGCAAGTCATGCCAGTTTATTTGAAATGTCAGTGTGATACCTGTAAACAAACACCAATTCTTTTGGCACAGAAAAATTCCTCAGTAGGCTCAAAAACACAACAAGGACTGGGATCTCCTACTTCTGTAGCCAAATGTTTGCCTTGAGAAGAGTAAAGCCAGACTGTCCTGGGGTAAATTCCTTTATTTCCCAATCCCTTAAACTGAATTGGGTATCAAAGCACAAAAGGTGACAACAAAAAAATCTCATTATTTCATTGCCTTATTAATTCATTCATTGTTTCAAATATTCTCATTATTTATTTGTTTTTATTCTGGTAATAACCCCTCACGATACAAGGAATTCAGAGTTTTCATTTACTTATTAATGCACAAACAAAAATGAATTTATATATAATAGGGAACATGAGATAATTTAATCTGTACTTCCAAGATTGTTATAAAGCACTTGATCAGCTGAGAGCATTTAAATATGCACAGCCCAATAAATCCTGGAGGATATTTCTATGTCTCAACAAGAAACAGTGAACAGTGACTGAAATTCACTGCTTGGTTAATTTTTTTCACCTTCATACAACACAATAAACAGTTATTTATTTCTCTTGTCTTTCTGCATGAAGAAATCCCTGGCAAATATTAATTCATTGCCAGAAGTAGATTTTCCAGCACTAAAAATCAGCTGAAACCTTTCTTTGCTTTAGTACATTTGCTATTAGAATCGAGGAGATGGGTTATTCTTCACTCACGACATATTCGTGTTGTATTTTTAATTTTCAGAATTTATTATTTGATCTTGTGTTGCCAACTCTTTTTTATCATTAAATATTCTCTAGAGTTGAAGTATTTTATTTGCCAGTGAATTAGAGAGCACTGTGCCCACCAAAACCAATGTTTTCCAGCTCTCATCCCATTTTTCTTTTCCCTATAAATCTCTGCAACTGGGCAGACTTTGCTCAGCAGCTCTCTCACCTCTGTACAAAAACTCTTTTTTCACTGCTTCTACTCAAAAAATAAACAGTCCCTAAGTATAAAAATCTTTTTTGCTACTGGAAATGTTAACAAATCAGAGTAAAAACACAGTAAATCAGCAAATAGACTTAAAATTCCCCAATAATCTGATAATGGGTTGAGATTTAACCATAACAAAATGGTTAATTTAACCATTAACAAAAGTTAAACAAAACTTAAAGCATCACTTTAATTTTTTCAAAACCACTCAGCCTTGGTGCTGAAAACCAGATCCCTCTGAATCCACAGGGTAATTCTGGTTAAAGTCACCAGCATATAAATCTTCTGATTTAGCAGCAATTTTCAATCATTACAGCTCTGATCTTCCAGTAAAAATAAACTTTTTCCTGCTGGCTCATATAGTATTTATTAAATAACTAGAGGGTGTAAGATTACATGTAAATTAATATCTTGTATATGTATTTTGAAGTATTGTTGCCTCACTGTGCACTTAACAGTAGCTCAGGGAAATTCTGAAATTATGGAAGGGACCTTAATTTATTTAGGATAACCTAATTTAACTCCAACATTTTAGCCACTTACTTGAACAAATATATTCAGCTAATTTCTCAGCATTTCCAGCCTTTTCTCCTTGTGGAACAAGACCAATTTCTTCCACTAGAACCAAAAGCAGCAAAGAAAAAACCACGAGAAACAATGAGAACCATTCAGATTTCCTGTCACAGAACGCTGGGATGGAAAGGGAGGGACACAAATAATTTGTGCACGGTCTCAACCAGGTTAGAATCCCTTTCATCCAATTTCATTTCCAAAAGCAGTAACAAAACCACATTCAAATTAAGAACAAAGGTTGTTTTTTTTCCCTGTTTTGACCCAATTTTTCATCACATTACAACAAAAATAGCAGAAATCCAGAGGCTGGATTAGATCCATGGATATCCTTGGCTGGAGCATGGATAATTCTAATGTTTACATAATTACCTCTCTTCCAAATTAACCAGTTTAAAACTTAAATTTCTTCCTCAGTACCCTTGAACAGCAGCTCCTCCTCCAAAAATTTTACTTACAAGCCAGATTTAGCCAATTTTTCTTTTTTTAAACCCCAGCTTACCTAAAGAAGCTGTAGCTTTTCCTACCACATATGTTGGTTTGATATTCCACATTTGTTTAAGAGAATTTGACCAGGCTGAAAAACATTAAATTATACTAAATTAAATGAAATTTAAGCACATGGCAACAAAATGTGAATGCTAAATGACTATTTGGACTTCCGTTTAATCCACAAATAAGCAAAATGATAATAATAACTATTATTATTAATAGTATCCATCTACATATCCAGCAAATCTGGATGTACAAATCCTAAAGGATAAGAAATATATACACCAAATTTTTTACTGTCGTGTTTTAACCAGAACAGCACATGACACTGAGTTTTTTTCTGGGACTACTGGGGGTGAAAAAAGAAATACAAACTACAACAGCAAAAATAAAATCAGAAGTAAAACCACAAGGTTTTATTACTTTTGAGAGGAACTCAAACAAGACCTATAGACTAATTTTTATTATTAAAATATTTATTTTCCAAAAGTCCTAATCAAGATTAGGGATGAAATTTAGAGATTACTTTTGACCTAAAATCCTCACAGATTGCCCTCTGCTGCTGCAAATGAGGGTCTCAGTGCATTTACTGCTTGCTCAAGGGTGTAACCTTACTCACAGAACACTGATTTGTCCACAGCCCAAAAATGGAGCAGATAAAGTAGAAACTCTATGCCAGAATCACCCAACATGAGAATTTGGAAAAGTTTACAAGGATTTTTCATTTCATTGTGATGGGTATTTCTATTTAGCAGGAATCTTCCTCACTCCTCATGTCTTGGCTTTGATGCATCACCACTTCTTTACCATTTTTTAGCTAATAATTAATTTACTTGAGAAATTCATTGTTCAAGACAGAGAACTCCTTTTTTCTGCAGCATTTCATAGGAATTGCACAGGCACAGAAGTGACAGCCAGCTTTTATGAGATGATCTTCTCTTTCAGGGAGGAAAGCAGTCAGCAAGCAAACCAGGCACTGCAGCAGAATATTCCTTCTGCATGGGAGAAGCAGAGCTGGCAAAGCTCTCACTAATTAGTAATTTGCACCAAAAGCTCCTTCCCTTCATTTTTAAGTCTGGAAAACACAACCCTTAAAAGCTCAGTGTAGCATGAGCCCCTTATGATGTCAAAAAAACTATGAAATTCAGGTTTTTTACAAAAATCACGCTCCAAATATATACTGGTGGGTGAAATAAAATTAATTAAAATCCAAACTCTCAAGATGCTGGAAGAAAAAGACCAAGGAATATCAATATGTACTTACCTTCTTTTTTACTCTTCTCTTTCAAACATATCTTGATGGCTTCTAATGCTCTTGGGCTGGTAAAAACTAGGCCTCCATAGCACTCTGGATGGGAAAGCTATTTAGAAACAGTAAATTTAAGAAGTAAAAATAAAAAAATAATTATAAATTAATTTTAAAAATCAGTTGATCTATTATTTATAACCTTGCGACAAACAGAACAGCTTCAATAACTGCCTGAAATGCCCCAACATTTGTTACAACTCACAACTTAAATGTGAATTCTGTCTGAACAATTTAATTCTTTAACAAGCTAGGGCAAGGTCCTTGATGCTGTACATGAAATTTTACTGTACAAAGCTGGTTTGTGGCAACACAAAAGGAGCTACCACACAGAGAATGATCCAATGGGATCATTCCAACCAAATCTTGCTGGAAATAACACAACTGAAATAATTTCAAACTTACCTTCCCAAATAAGCTCTCAAGAGAGGTGAAGTCAAATGACAAAACTGGGATCAATGTTGCTTCCAAGCTGTATGATCCTAATTCCTATAAAGAAAAGATTTGCAGCTCTTGAAATAAACTCCAAACAGCATTTTTGCTTTTTCAAACAGCTGACTAAGTCAGCACAAGCATTTCTCTTTGCTAAAGCAAAATAAAAAGATATTTTATTTCCTTTCTCTGGTAAATCTAGTTTGGATATTTTAATTATTTAATATTCCAATATTTCATAACACAAACAGCTGTGGGACTGTGACCTTCTGAAGTACAGGAGACACCAGCACATAACTCTGAAATCCCCAGGTGTCTACCCAGTCCTGAAAATATCCCTGTACATCTCTGTAATTCTGTCAATAGGTTTCTGCTAAAGAAATAATCCTCCTTTATCAGGAATTCTTACTCTTATGAGTGAGATTTACTCACATGACCAAGGGCAGTAGCAGAAGGGACCCCAGCAACAGGTAACCTCTATTTCACATCACACTCCCAGTAAAAATACAACAAATTTCTGTAATCCTTATTCTGTCCATATGAACAGAATCAATATTAATGAATTTAAATGAAGCTGATTTAATATCAGTACTTTGCTGAGAGCTTTATAATGAATTCAGTACAAATGTCCCATAATTAATACAATTTTTATGCAGGAAGGGCTATTTTCTAAGATACTTTTTCTCTCAGCATAACTTCAGACATGCACTCCTAATTTTGATTAAGCCCTTGAAACAGCTGGGTTCACATTTAATAAAGAAGTGACACATTTTTTAGTTTTCTTAACATTTACTCACTTTAATATATGGATCTGGTCCTGAATCTTTGTCTTTGGGATCTTTTAGCAGCAAAACCTTCATTGTTCACCAAGGAAGCACAGCAGAACCCTGAAATACAAGAATGGAATTTATCTTAATTAGATCTAAAGAACTTTTTGACTGCAACAATGACTTGGACAGCTCCAAGAACTGGGTTGCTACCACTTGTACTGCTCCTTACACAGTGAGTAAGCAGTTATTGTGCATTCTCCAGGCAGGAACACCCAGCCTGATAAGGGCAGAAAATAATATGCTGCCTTTAGATAACACTGCTCAAGGAAGAGGCTCTAATGAAACTCATCCAGGGGAACACATTTTAAAGAATATTTCGTAAAACCAGTAACAGGCCCTACAACGCCACCACGTTCTGCAATTGAATCAGCTCATAGCTACAAAAATATTATTTATTCTATTAATTTCCATGCCAGATTGCACTAGTTTGTTGTTATGCAAAGATATTGATTTTATTTAATATATGTGTGTATATATGCACACGTTTATACATCTATAATAATATAGGTAATATTAATATGCATTCTCTGATAGTCTAGGAAACAAGGCAGGACTGAAAACATCTATTCTGCCATAAAAATGGAAGATGATACTTCTCAGCTCCTTACAAGCTTTGGTGCTAAACTCAAAAGTTACATAACAGAAACAAATACACAAATAATACAAACAGAAATCCACTAAGTGCACATTTACCCCAATTACCAGTGTGGTACTTTCCTGACAGGTCACACACATAGGAAAATTCATTTTTCTCTAAATTCTTTCCCTGGATATCAGTATTCAAATTTTAACAATGACCTAATTGCTCCCAGAGCAAACACAGCTTTGAAAAACAAAAGAAAAAATAAAAACAAAACAACAAACAAAAAAAGAGCCAAACAAAAAAACAACCAAACAAAAAACCCCAAACCAAAACAAAATAAAAAACCCCACAAATGTGTTTGATGCTTTAAAGGGAACATGAAAATCTGAGCCTACTTGAAGCATATTTGTAAAGCTGGAATTACATCCCAAGGCTCCGGGCTTGCATTTCTTCTGGCTGGCAACAGTGAGTGCCCAATGCTCTTCTCTCCATGGCCTCATTAACATCTCATTCTTCATTAATTAGACACAAAGCGTTCAATGGAACACGTTCCATATAACAGAGGCTTGATCACTAATGAGCATTTTTCCAGTGCTTAGGACATTTCAACGCTTTTTCCCGACTGGCATTTTTATAAAAACCAGGATCACGTTGTGCTTACGGTGCTCTCCCCATCACCCTCCTCTGCGGTTCGTCTGGAATTATCCAGGAATTTGGTCCAGGGGAAGCCGGGTCACAATTTTTAGGGCGTAACAGCCTGATTCCTGTTTAATCGGCAATTTTTACTAACGCCAGTTTTTACTTACAGCAATTTTTGCTAATGCCGGGGATGCTCAGGACACTCTGCTCCCTTTAAAGCACAGAATCCCAGGATCCCCGAGGCTGGAAAAGGCCTGGAGGACCATGGGGGCCCGATCCCCGCCGTGTCTCCAGCGCTGAGCGCCACGTCCAGGCTTTCCTGCAGGGATGGGGACTGCAAAGCGCCCCGGGCAGCCCGATTTAACTCCCGAGAACCCTTTTCCATGCAGGAATTCCCTTTGGGAGGAAGTGACAGCACAGCGCGGAGAGGAAATCCGGGTTAGCGCGGCCAGGGCGCTGCGGGACGCGCCTCCCCCTTCAGCTCCGCGGCCGCCCGGGCAGCTCCACGCTCGCCGGGCGCTGCCTCTGCCGCTCGCTGTCGCGACATTCGGCGACATTCGGCGACATCCCGCGGCCACACCGTGCCATGGCCACGCCGGCCAAGCGCCGGGCGCGGGGCCCCGCCGGGGAACAGAGCTCCGAGAGCGGCTCCGAGAGCGGCTCCGAGAGCTCCGACAGCGGCTCCGAGGGCTCGGCGGGCTCGGACTCGGAGGAGCGCCTGGCTGAGGTGAGCGGGACGGGCCCCCGGGCTCCGCACTGCGGGAATGACGGGGGAGCTCGGGAAGGGATTATTGCCTGAGGGTGTTCGGGATGGGTTCGGGAAGGGATTATTGCCAAAGGGTGTTCGGGATGGGTTCGGAATGGGATTATTGCCAGAGGGTGTTCGGGAAGGGATTATTGCCAGAGGGTGTTCGGGATGGGTTCGGGAAGGGATTATTGCCAGGGGATGTTCGGGATGGGTTCAGGAAGGGATTATTGCCAGAGGGTGTTCGGGATGGGTTCGGGAAGGGATTATTGCCAGAGGGTGTTCGGGAAGGGACTGTCAGGGGATGTTCGGGATGGGTTTGGGAAGGGATTTTTGTCAGGGGATGTTCGGGAAGAGATTGTCAGGGGGTGTTTGGGAAGGGATTGTTGTCCAGGGATGTTCGGGATGGGTTTGGGAAGGGATTGTTGTCAGGGGACGTTCAGGAAGGGACTGTCAGGGGATTTCGGGATGGGTTTAGGAATGGATTTATTGTCCGGGGATATTCGGGAAGGGTTTGTGTCCCTGCGAGGCACTGCCTGCGTGTCCTGTGGGAGCGCAAGGAACGCGTCCCTGTGGGCCGGCGGTCCAAAGTGTGTTCGCTGCATTGTTGTTGGAAGTTTTTAATTTTTAAACTGTTTTTCAAGCGTTGGGGTCCCGAGGCCTCAGCTGTGCAGCCCCCCTGCCCTTGGTGTGTCCGCTCAGGTGTGGGGCTGGAGGCGCCTGCTCAGAAATGGTGCTGTCAGCACAGAGCTTTTTTATTATATTCTGATATATTTTATTATTATATTTGTTTGCTTCATTTTGTTATAGAATCCCAAAATAGTTTAGTTTGGAAAGGGCCTTAAAGCCCACCTAGTTCCACCCCCTGCCATGGCAGGGACACCTTCCACTATCCCAGGGTTTCCAAGCCCCGTCCAGCCTGGCCTTGGGCACTTGCAGGGATCCAGGGGCAGCCTGTGCCAGAGTCTCTGGAATTTTACTGCCTCCCAAGGGATTGTCTGCCTGTTTTCTACATTGCAAACAGGTCTTTAACACTGTTTTTCCAGTGGACAGCAAAGGCCATGACCTCGATGTGGGATTGGAGAGAGTTATGAGGCTGAATGGTGGCAAAAGTGAGGCTGAGTTGTTGAGGTCACTCAGGTGTAAATGAAACTTGCAATTAAAAGGCAAAATAACTTTGGATGATCTTGAGCAGTGGAATAGGTGGGGAGAGTAACCTCAGCAGGTGTGACTTTTAATTTTGAATACCAATAAGAATGTTAGTAGGCACGCAGCATTTGTTCTGGAAGGAGAAGCAGCAGTTCTCGTTGTGGCTGCTACAGTGCCGTGGTCTCATCATTTGCAGAATTCCACAGTGGGGTTAATGATGCCAGGAGGATTTGGGGAAATAGCAGAAGTGTGGATTTGGATGTAAAAATTTAAATGTCTGCAGCAATCTTTAGCTAAAGTGTTACACCCCAGTCCTGAAGTTGCCAGGGTTTAACTGCCTGGCTCAGAACCTCTCTCCAGGAAGAGTCTGTGGCTACAACAGCTGTAACTATGTGAACCAGATGGCAGGAGAAGGCATTTAAGGTTTGTTCATGACACAGTTGATGGGTCAATTTTGAAAAGTTACTTTCACAGATGTTCTCTAAAGGTCACAGGAGAAATTATAACAATTGCTGAGATTACTGCAAGGTGGAAATAAATTCTGTTTCTGCTGTTTGCCATTACTTGTCTTCAAGTTTCTGACAGTTTAGCTTTGTTCTGATGTAGCTTCTTGACAAGTGTGTGTGCTATTCTCTGTTTTACTCCACAGGAAGTGAATATTGAATTTGAAGCACATTCCATATCAGACAATGACTATAATGGGATAAAGAAGTTACTGCAGCAGGTACTGTGGCTACTTGTCAGCTTGGTTGATATGTCCATTGATAAATAATATCTAAGGAGTTGTGCAAAGTCATCAGTTCCCATTCTCTGTATTGATTTATAGCTTTTATATATTACTTTCCTTCCTTTTATTAGCTAATCCCAGAATAGTTTGGGAGAGAAGGGACCTTAAAGCCCATCCAGTGCCATCCCCTGCCATGGCCAGGGACACTTTCCACTATCCCAGATTGCTCCAAGCTCCATCCAGCCTGCTCTTGAACACTTCCAGAGATGGAATAGCCACAGTTTTCAGATCATGCCAAACTCCAGAAGATACCAGTATGGAAATATCAGCATATGGAAGGTGCAGGAGCAAGCACCTCCAGCAGCTGATTGTTAGTTTTTGCAATATTATAATGAAGGAAGATAAATAAAAATCTCACTTTATTTTCTGCTAAGTGGTCCATGAGACACTCTCAGTGCCTGATATACCTGTTTAATAGTTGTTAAATCCTTGGTTTTTATACTTGTTTAAAATACTTTAATACTTGTTTCCTGTCTCTCAGTTGTTTCTAAAAGCTCCTGTAAACACTGCTGAATTAACTGATATATTAATACAACAGAACCATATTGGGAGTATTATCAAGGTAAGACAGATATTATATTTGTAATTGAAGTACAATTTCTTGAAATTACATGATTTCTGTATTTCAGAAGGGGATCCTGTCTGTGTTATTTGTGTGCTTTCTTGTTTATTCTGCTTTAAGAGTAATTTTTCTATGGGAACTGAAATTTTCCATGCCTACTTTAAAGCAAAGAATGGATTTGATATATTGTTTTTGCTGGTTTCTTTTTACATATGGAAAGCTTTTCCCTCCCTGAATTTCAGTGTAGTAATGCTGAAAACGCAAAGGAGGGATTTGTTGCCATCTCCATAAGAAATAGGAGCTTGTGACTTTCCTACAAAGACACAGCTCTTTGTCTCCCTCCCTATCAAAGCTTTGTTGCTCTGTGGTTGTCAAGACATTCCAGGTTTACTTCCCTACATTAGAAACTGAAGCAAATTGGTTTTTTTTAAGATATTGCCATCCCCTAGGCTAAGATGTTGCTTATTAAATGTGAGCTATCAACCTTTAGTGCCTTTCAGAGGACTCTGCTGTAGAAGATACATGAGCTGGCCCTCTCCAAAGCTGGCTTTGAGCACACTGAGATGTTCAGTGATGCAGCAGAATTTGCAGTGTGTGTTTGTACAGATTTTCTCGATGGTTTTCATCTGCTGATACCACCTGGAAAGAAAAACATCTTTTGCTACAGAGTGGAAATAGAATGTCAGTATGAATTGATGCTTTTCCTTTCATTCAACAGCAAGCAGAAGTGCAGGAAGACAGTTCTGATGATGAAGATGATGATGATGAAGTGTTTGGTTTTATAAGCTGCTTGAACTTAACAGAAAGGAAGGTTGGTATTCCTCAGTAACATCTGGTTATAAATATTAGCATCAGTAATAAATGAGACTGTATCCTGTGTAACAAGCCTGGACCAGGATTTGGAATTCCACTGTGGAGGACTTGAAGTGGCTTAGCTTTTTTTGAGTGCAGTAACTTGCTGAGGGTCAAACGTGAAGCAAAGAACGGAACAGAGAGTTAAAACTGGGCCTAGTAATTCCAGCATAAATGAGCTGTCAGTCTCTTGTATTTCTTCCCTTGGGTCTTCTGCAGTTTGGAGTTTTGCTGTGGTGTTGCAGTTCCTTGTTCCCATCACTTCACAACCTTTGTTTGTCGCCAGCTTTAGGGCTGAAGAATCAGGATTTTTTTGCTGATTTCAAAGCAATTTTGCAGTGCTTTAGAGGCTGCTGAGGGGAAGTTCCCTCCAAGCTGACATTCAAGGTTTTCTTGTGTAAACAGTTGTTGTGTGGGGTAAAGAAAATGCACCTTTTGCTTGCAGGGCACGCAGTGTGCTGAGCAGATCAAAGAGCTGCTTCTGAGTCGCTGTGAGCAGAGCTGTGAGCAGCGGGTGCTGGAGCAGCTGAGTGAACTCCTCAATGACAGCACAAAGCCTGTGGGGCTCATCCTGAGTGAGAGGTTCATCAATGTCCCTCCACAGATTGCTCTGCCCATGCACCAGCAGCTCCAGTGAGTTTTTTGTATTTTTTTTCCTTGCATGATGCAGAATGGTTATTTTTCATCATATTTTTCATAATTTGCATGTATGCTGAGCTGTGTTATGACAGTTGATGCTATAGATATGAGTAAAGCATGAACAATAAAAATATCATCTCATATATGGTCTTTAGTTAATTTTTAAAATATTTTTTATATCTATAAAGGTACAAAACTTTCTCAAGTTCTGTAGAGAATATAATTTGAGAACATGTGCAGTTCTACAGAAATAGCTGTGTGTATGTTGCAGTTTATCCTTGTATTGCAGATTATTTTCACACTGATCTAGGAAAATTTAAAAATGAGAACTCTTTTAGCAGCTTGGGTGTTTCTGTGTTAAAATGTCTGGCTCGGAAATGGGAAATTTGGACTGAGGGGAAGGATTAAAAGGTGAATTAGTTTTGACCCATGTAAATATGCAGTGTTTTGATTAGTTTCAAGTAATGAAAAAGCAGGTGAAGTGCTGGTTGATCCCTGCTAATTCATGGATTATATCAAAAGCTGGGTGAATGTAAATAAATTAATCCACTGAAACACAGCATTACATTATTTTAGTGTCATGCTGAGAACTGGGAACAAGGAAGTTTTGTTGGGTAAGGAACCAGTAATAGAATGGAGATCATCTCTTTTT